CGGGACCGGCGTTGGTCGCCGTCCTCCGCCGGGCTGGGAGTCAAGGCGCGCCTCAGCCCACCGCAGGCGTAGGAGGCGTGCGAACCCAGCCGCAGGCTGCTCCTGCCGGCCCCGCGCCTTGCCGGTGCATCTGCCGCTGCTTAAGAACCGGCAGCGTACGTCGTCCGGCACCAAAGCATTTCTCTAACAGGCGTCTGTTTCCGATTCTCACGTTTCGTGGCGTTACTTTATGATGCACAATGAACAGTATTTCTTTTTTGTGCTTTGCTTGTTTTAAGCTGTTTTTGTTTGAAGTGTGCTTTCGAAAAGGCAGAATGCCGGCATTTTAAAGCAGTACTCGCCTGTGGATACAAAGGATGCTGCCTGGATGAGTAAAAACAGCAAATGATCAAAATGTGTTTTGAATTTTTAGTTATTAAATTTAAAATGTTGTTTCTGATCACCGTATTATTTATGACATGAGGCTTATTTCAGCCTCACGCTTTCCTTTGGATTTTTTTTCTTCTACTCAATCATTAAAATAGGGTTTTACTTTCTTTCAATTTCCAAACAGGTTCACAACTCTGAATGGACAAGTCCTCCATCAAGCTAAATGGAATAAAATGATATGCAAAAGCCCCTCTCTTTGCAACCACAAAAGAATACGTGAAGCTGGTTATATTTTCAACAAACCTGAATTTCAGGTGTTTACTGGAGGAGTCCTGCCAGTTCAGTAATACAGCTTTCTTGAAAGCAGTGTGTGGGAGTTTAGCAAGCAGGAAGTTCAGCAAACTTTCCCTTGTGTTGCAAGTAAACTTACAATGAGCGAAAGTAAATGATATGTTTGGAACCCAGCAGCACTTGGTATCGGTGAGTTTTTGAAAGTTCCTGAAAGATAGCTTTCAAGAAAGCTTGGTCTTGGTGGTTGTGGGACTGTATAGTCCCTACATTGTAAGAATTAATATGTAAGGGATATTATAAGGAACTATGCTGGCTAACATATACATAGTTTTTATTAATTAGATATGCTTAAACAGGCAGATTAAAATCAGAGGAGTAATTTACGTATAATTATTGGATGTATTTAAAGTCGCACCTGCTCTGTAGGCAGCACAACTGCTTGCTTTGTGCTTGTCAAGTATGGACTGCTTGGCCTTTCTTAAGTAGAAGAGTTTTAAAGCACGTGTGGGTGTGCATGTATACATACAATTTTGAGAGAAAAATGTTTTGTTTCACTGATTTCTGTTGCCATGTAGCATGCTGCTATAGGAAAATAAGTAGATTCATTTGAGCATATGTTTCTTCAACAAAGTTCGTTAACAAACTCTTATGATACTGTTGCTTCACGTGACTATATTATGCTCAAACAGAAGAGGAGGTGACTCTCGGACTTCAGATTTAAGTCTGCTACCTTAAAAACTAATGGAGGCAAAATTAATTTATAAATTGATTTAACAGTTACTAATGTAGCTGCTTTTTACTACAGTTACTTTTTAGAGTGTAACTGTGCTCATGTATTTTTTTAGAAAACTCTTCAACTTTGTACTTCAGCA